GTGGAAGCATTCAGCGGATTATGAAAAGAAGGACATCTTAATCCAAAAACAAAATACAGAAACTTAACCACAGAGATGACTGTGTGAACAGTAATAAAACTGTAAGGCTGCTACTTAAACAGTTACCGTAAAAAAATAATATAAACAATAGTTAACTTATCCGTTTAACCTACTTCAATAATTATCTACACCTTCGAACTATAATGTGAAACAAGATAAAATGGTTTGGACAGCCTCCAACAGCCGAGGCCAACACTTGTCAGTGTGATTACACCGAGGATCATTTGTTAAGAGCTACGAACTGTTACTACACTGTCTCCATTGTCATTGCACCAACGATGTTTTGTGACTCTGCGTGTCTCCACTAAACATTACTACTGCCACTATGATTTAAATATTGGACGGTTTCCCAGCATTATTTACATAGTTATTCACTAATTGGTTTCAGTTTTTCAGTTTTTATTTTTTGGTGGATATAAACTTCGTATTTAATTCTTTTCTGTGTTTGTCGTTGAATAGTGGATACTGTCAATAAGTCGAGGTGAAAAGCGGCAATAAGTCTTTGGTGTAGATAGGACAAATGGTTGAAACGAGCTCCCCGGCGCGTTCTCATCCACTACTCTAGCTGCTCGCTTGATAACATCCATTTCCTAGGTGGCGATCCATCACCTTTGCACCTCGCACTCTCACCATTGTTCGAGTGCTGGTACATCTGGTTGATCTAATGTCTTGTATGGTATCATTCATAAATCCCTCTAATCGATTGGTGCATGCGATCAATTCAAAATAAATTTTATGGTAATGCACCCATTGCTGCATTACGGATGTAGATTCTAATTCTAATGTACCTAAGTTTGGAGATCAGTTGCTCAAGCATCAAGTATCATTACAACGTAGGCGTGCGTACCGCTATCTGGTGATCTTGTTCGCTGTGAACTATGCATTTCATTTGCTAACCCACATGAAAATATTACATCGACAAGAACATGAGTGCTTTCTTACCAGAAAACGGTGTTTATCAATTCTGAGCGTATTTTACAATCGAACCGTTGCTTGTGAAGGTGAAATAATTTCCATAATGACTGGCAATGAGTGAAATGTTGGAGGCAGTTGTGTCCCCGTCGTGATGCGACTGCAAGTACGAATGGGACGCATGTAAATGAAGAGTTGCACACGGTGCAAGTATTTGTCAGAGACATAAACAATGCATGTAGGGCGCTCAGGGCAGACGAAACAATGACCTCATGTAGACATACAGGAAAGAGCCATGGTAAGGTTTAAACGAGCTTAAGCCTATGTTTCAAATTTATTTCCATGTCCGTGCGCTTTCAGTTAAGCAGATTTAGGTACACGAAAGAGATGTATATATATGGATGTGTCTAAATATTTTATTAGTTCGTAGTAGGAAATAATATTGAGTCACATCCAACTGTAATGGGAGTTTTCTGGAATCCCAATCAATTTACAATGAGAACAAATGGTTTGCGAACGTTTACTTCTTCTGAAATTATCTTGGTATTTAATTTTTTTTTAGAATGTTGCCGCACACTAGGTTGTCGTTGTCGTTTACAAACATACAAATTCACATACACATAACACCCAGACCCGGAACAACAATCTGTGGATCACACAAAGAGTTGTTCCGTGCGGGAATCGAATTCGCGACACATTGCGCGGCAGTCAGTTACCCAACCACCGCGCCAACCGTGCAATCAAATAATTACTAACAATTTGAGCGAATTCAATTTAACTCGTCGAGTACCGGTTTTGTAGACACAATTATAGAACAATAGGTTGCGGTCACCGGTGACCGCTTGGTGTTTGACAGTTTAAACATCTGCCTATGAAGGTTCTAGAGCAAAACATGATCGCATTGGAGGTTAATTCAATTATATATCAACTAGTGTGGTCTCCTAAACATGTCAGACAAGACGCGAGAGCTTTCATGTGAATTCTTACCAGTAAAATGCGATGGCATGTGCTGTTATTCATGAGACTCAGATTTCATCTCGGAAGACGTGTAAATGTGTCGACACACAGATTGGGAGATTTATTGTTGTTGCTTAGCATGAATCGTCAGATCCATGTGTAGTTTGACTAGCGAGCGCGAGCGCAGTGCAGCCGGCGCGGCGCGTGCGCACTGCGGTCAAATCTTTCGTGTATCTCAGATGCGTGCATTGATATCAAACAGCGGTGAATCAATCTTCCGTTTGTTAGTCGTTATCTTAGATCGGCGCCCACACAGCGTAAAGCAGAGAGTCTAGTCAAACACAGCGTGAATCGCTTTTCTTCTACTGTACCATACTATACTATCCAACATGCAGCTCGCAACTTTGACCGCTAAAGCCGCTTTATTACCGTGGCCCAGACATATCGCAATAACGTGCAACTTAATTAGGGAAGAGATGAAAGTAGTCGGGCACGTTGTCGTCGAACTTGATATTTAAATTGCCGAGGGCCATCCGTTCTAAGATACTCGCGTTTTATTGCGGCCCTAATGAATCGTATTCATTGTCTATCTATACAACTTAACTGTTCATTTATTATAATGGTTTTTATACTGTGTCTAATATTGTGACGTGTTAAAGACGTTAGAATTCTCATCGTTGTTATAATATTCACAATCACAGTAACAACAACAACAAACGCCCACTCTTAGGTTCAGGCGGTAATGATCTTGAAATCAGCGTAGGTCGTGTTTATTGCTGTGGTATGGTACAAGTCAGGCTCATCCCAAACAATGTTGGTTAAATATTGAGAATGCAAGCTTGCGTGCTTGATGCTACGTTGTGCATTTATCCAGCTTGTTCCTTCATGTCGCTATTCATTTAAATTATTTATGGATTTCCATAGAAGTATATAATACAAAATAACTTATGTAACAATATCTTTGTGTGCCAAGGATAATTGCAAAGGGTGTGGCGCTGAAAGTCTCCATGAGAAACCAACGATAGGACACGTAAAAGTGCGAATACCAAGTCCCGTACTAAGAAACGTTCGCGTTGTGACAAACGTGTTACGAAATAATAGTTTTGCAAAGGTTAACCCTAGAGTTTATAGTTGTAATTAAGTCTGTGTATATAGAAATAGGAAACATTCAATATTGTTACTGGAACCATAGTACATATTGTTCACAGAATTGTTTGCTGTACCGGTTTCACTACATCTAAGTAAACTATCTGGTATTGACAGTTGACAGCACCTATCGCTTGTTATATCACAGATTTACTATTCTGATATAAATAATAGTCGTAATAGCTTAAGAATAAACAATGGTAATTCGTGCATTATTACAATAAATATCACTACTTGTGGCACAAATTATTTCATAGTTACTACTTTGTGTCTTTAATCTCGACTACAACTTTTTCTTCTATCATAGTAAAGAATAAAGATTTGTATCGGTTTGGTAAAAAATAGTATTCTTTTAATAAACTTAAATACTTCAATTCTCATTATTTTTATACTGTTTCTACTAATAATTTGTTAAGTAATTCATTAAAACTCCTTTATTGGTATGTAATTGCATTATCAATCATAAAACGTAAATCCCGTTGTTGATTATCTATCTTCAGTTAATGACTGCTATTGCTATTATTATATAAGAGGCTTCCCGTTCGTGTAATAGTACCCTTTAGGTAATGACATGATAATAAATCAAGGTTCAGGCTTAACAATTGACGTTATTTAAATTAACCATACTGTCCAAATTGGCTGCTCCATCATTAACTTGTGAATTAACAGTATTTATTGAGGGCCAAAATCATAATATTCATAAGTTGATTTTATTGGAGGCACAATAAAAGTATTGCGTGATTATCTTTTGTATAACATCTCCCATAAGGTTATTGAATTGAAAATGTAAGTTTCACAACTAATAGTTAGTAACTTTGTTATTCCTGCACTAGTACTTGGTATTTTGAAACAGAATTACGAAGGTGAGGCGATAATTGCATCACTTACTGCTCCCCAGTTAAAATTTATCAATATTATAGTAATCGACGTAGGCCTACCTTAATCTGGACAAAAGTAGCGGCATTTAGTACTGGCCATCCGAATGGCCCCTACTTTCGTGGACACAATATTTATAATTTAGAAGACTTTTATGTTTATGGCCAAGCGTTTACATTACTCGCCGTCTAGTCGTAACATCCTCTCGAGATATATCTTCATTATCCAGCACTGAAATAGCAACTAGAAACATATATTTCCGGGGAAATATGACTGTTTTAATTAATACATAACAGGAGATGAAATTAAAGGTATGAAACCAGGCATGTAGCCAACGAGAAACAGTGAGAATTTTTGTTCAAGTCATTTACTGCATTCCACGATTCAATTTACCTCTAAAATTAACTTGAATTATTTGTGTAGATGCAATTGAATAGAGCATTTGCATAAAATGATGTAGTTAAACAGATATTTCCTTGTAAGGCCTTGTTAAACGACAGTCCAGGTATAATCAAGCACCATTTATAATCCCACGTTTAGTTTTTATTTTATCGCTAACTACTTAGCATATCTGGCTTACCGGCTACTATATTAATTTGATCGACACCTTTGCAAGTCCCTACTAGACTTAGATTGAGAACCGTGGTCAATTTAATTATTACGAAATAAATTGAGAAGCATTCTTTGAAATATGAGTAAGATCATAAATTGCACAACGACCTATATTCTTAAATAGTTCAACAGAAGTAATAAAATAAATCATCACGGAATTGGCAGGGAGATGACACATGTAAAATGTGGATGAGGGTAGGCTCATAGGCTGTGGGCGCGACACGCGCTAGCCGTCCCTCGACAGTTAGCTGCACGAGGGTGCAGAAGTCAAACGATTTATGTGCCCGTGTCGTTGTCGAGTGCTTGACGACACAACCGTTGCGTCGTTCCTCTAATTCGGATTTACGCCGCCATTGATTTCGGCTCGAGATTAAATTCTATTGTGCTGAATCACTTCCATGACATTCGACAATACTTATTGTTGATATACGATGCCGTCCATTTGTTCGGGAGATTTAATCACCAGGGATTAAGGTTTTTTTTTTCTGTTTGCAGGCTGAACTCGTCGACATGAGGGCCGAATTGGTGCAAGCAAGAGCCGCTTCAGCAGGTGAGTTTTGTTCTATTGGAAATTAATTCGTTGGATTGGAAATCTGTTTGAATCTAATTGTGGCTCTGTCGACAGAATGGCAATGTATCACAGTTATTTATCTACTGAGATTCGCTCATTGCTTAGATATATCATGCTGACCCTAGAATCGGTGCCGGTTCCGCTGTTTACTTGAGTGTTTACAATACCTTTGATGAGGCCGAATGAGGAGATATGACCAATTCGTGCTTGTGCTTAATTATTTCTGTCAAAGCTTGATTCAACTCGGAGCTATAAAGTATAAATAGCATTTTTTATGTTCATTCTTTACCTATTCTATATGAAAAGCTTTTGTAATACACGACACGCATATTCTATGAAGTCTAAAATAAAGATCCAGAAAATAAGTTGTTTGATACAGTTGTTATATAATTAAATATCATTCCCTAATTCTTTGTATTATAACTTTCGTGAGACATACTAAATTAATTATTGTTTTCGGCTTGCTCATGTAATTATTTAACGTGGACTCGACTAGTTTCAAGCCATGCTAGAGGCTTATATTCTTTACCAGCGTTCCACGACCCGCGACGCGGCGACTATCGCGCTGCTACTACATATATGAGCCCCTAGCATGGCTTGAAACTAGTCGAGTTCCTAGTCAAATAATTACGTGAGTAATTCCGTAATTCCCTAATTCTGCTTATTCTTTCGTTTGTTGATTCTGATTGAAGTTGATAAAGTTCAAAACAGCATCTGGATGTTCAGGTGGATGCCAGGAAAGCGGTGACGCCGCAGGGAACGTGACGGACGCGGCACGAGCGCGTTCCGAGGCTGCACAACTGGCGCGGGAAAACGCGGCGTTAAGGGAAACGGTGCTTGCATTACATTCCGAACTCTTCGGAGCTAGGTAAGGCATGTCATTATACGTATATTGTATGAAAAATTTTATAAAATAAAGAATGCCTAACCTGTAAGTTGTCACAAAGCTATTTTTTTAATGGGACAAGCCCGCCACTGTGTCCTTTTTTTTAACTATGATCGACTCATACAACTTTGTTTTATTTTCTTTTGTCTGCCCAATATTCCGACCTTTTGCTTAAATATATAATTATGGTGGTCGTGTAGTGGTAAAAAC